CCCCCCCCGCCCTTTCCTGTCTCTCTCTCTCTCTCTCTCTCTCTCTCTCTCTCTCACTCTCTCTCGCTCTCTAATATTTACTGTTAAATAAAACCATACTATTGACTTTGGCGTATAGTCTCATTTGCACTTTAGTTCGGTGTCCTAGTTAGAGCAGTTCATCACTGTGTGGGTGTAACCCAGACTGTGTATTCTACACCCTCTATGTCATTTCCTAGAAACTTTTAACAATAGACCATCTGAAGCAACTGCCCAGAGCACACCTGACCCCTCAGGCTATAAACTGGGTGTTAAGAAGCCTGGGAGATAGGAGGATGTTCCTGTCCTCACACCCACGACTCACAATCACCCATTGTGGAACTCCCCGCCCTGGGGGAGGTACTGGGCATTCCTGTCTGAACCTGAATGTATGTAACCTTGGGGTCTTAGGACTTCTGGTACCACTCGTGGGATCCAGAGGAGGACCAGAACCTCAACCGGACTGTGATCACCACTCTCAACGAGACTGCAACCACCGGTCTCAACTGGACTGCAACCACTACTCTTGACCAGACTGTGACCATCACTAGCACCAACAGGTTTTTCCTCTCCTTTTATTTTTGGACTCGAGGAGACCACGTGGGGTTCAGCACGGGGGCCAGTGAACTTCATTCCGTTCGTGCCCCAGTGTGCCAGTTTATACATCTGGATTTTTGTGGGTTAAAACCAATTGTTCGTCTGTACAATTGTATTTATTGTATTACTTTTATTAAATTGTAATTCTGACTCAATCTCTTTTGAGTTGGGTTCATTTCTCCTGCCGGTTTACCTTTAAACCAGCACATTCGGGCAGAGGCATCTTTTAATAATCGGATCCTAACATTAACTGGTGTCAGAAGTGGGGTGATGATCTCTGACCCTGAAGTGCCTTTGACAATAAGTATGTTCTGGTATGTTTGTTTCCCTCTGTGGGTTAAATAATTCCACAACTCCAAGAAGGAGGCTATGCGTTAAGTTGCGTATTAAGTTGTGAAGTTGCCCTCTGTGGGTTGTGGGGTTCCTTCTATAGGGGCTTTTATCCACACCTCCAAGTCAGAGATAGTGTGTTGTGTCCTTAAGTTGTTGTCCTTTCTTGAAAAATTTGATAGTCACCCTGCTCCCTCAGGGGTGAAATGGGCACCGGAAAATTGGGATAATGAGCAGGCAGTAGCAAACTGCATAACTAGTTTATGAGCTGAAAAAAGGTCATGACCAGAAAAAGGCAAATCTGTCGTTTGTGCTGTACTGGGAGCAGCCTTGACTGCTGCTATAAGAGAAAAATCACAGTGGAACACCAAAAATGCAGAAACCACTAAGTCTTTCACAAAGTCTCTGCAAGACTTAGTGAAAGTGCTAGGAGATCAACTAGAAGAGGAGCTGCGTTACTCTGAAAGGCTCAGAACAGCTCTCATTGAGCATTTGGAAAGGATGGATTCTAGAGGAGTCCATAATGAGCCTTCATATCCTCAACAAGATGTAAAAGAGGCTGGAAAATGTTTAGGCCAATTAGATATGAAAAAATTGCAGCTGTTGATTAAAACAGAATATCAATATGAGGAAACAAACGATTCTTTCCCTTGCATAATTACCAAAGAAATACCTTATATGCCTACTGAATCGACTAAATTACAAAAGGAATATAGTTGCACTCAGAGTCTGAGCAGAATATGTGTGGAGAGTGTCCCTTACAGGAGGAGACCGAATTATGCTAACTGATACAGAATCAGAGGGATATTGGGGACCTGGACTCATCTTAACCACAGGTAATAAAAGAGCTCCCTGGTTCCTCACTCAAAGACCCGCCTATTGGACTGGGGGGCTGAGTCCCCTGGAGAGAGGTGATCCAATTGCCATAGTAACTTCTATGAATCAGTTGACTGAAGGCGTCCAAAAGGCTGCTTGCCTCCAATTAATTCATCAGCGCATGCTGGAACCTGATCAAGGTTCCTTGATGTCTATGCCAGTGGATCCAGGTCGCTTGACCCCACTAATACGAGGTCTCCCAGAATCATTAAAGAATCTGGGAATTAACTTGCAGGATCAAATCTGCTCTGCTCTAGCTAATGACAGTAAACACTCCACTGTCGCTCTTATGTCAATAAAAACACACAAGAAGGCTGATTCAGGGCAACATAAGAAAGGCTTCAGCTTTATTAATCTCAGCTCCTTTTTATATCATTTTTTAAAAGCAGCAAGCAAGCAGCAAGCAAGTAGCAAGCAAGCAACAACATTTTAATTGGCTATTCATTATTACTGATACATTTGGCAGTAATCGTGAGATACTTGGAGATGTTCAAGGTTAAGACTGCGGTTCTCACACACCGAACTTATGGACTTACAGTCAGTCTTTGTTCTTTAATTAGCTTGTGTATAAGACTTACTTATCCTCAAGGATACACTCAAAAGTTTGCCAAGTCAATCTCTTCTTCCAGGGAGCTAACAGACCCTCTGTTAACCCCTACACTCCACCCTTGATCAGATATCCTCAGGCAGACCGAGGGAAAAAAATGTGGACGTGGGGGGATGTTGCCCAAGAATTGATTAATTATGGCAGGCGTTTTGGACCCCCTAACCCATTACCTCTAAAACTGAGTCTAAGACTGCCATCCACTGGGCTGAGTGGCAAAGTACTGCTGAGGCTCACCAGGAGAAGGAAGTGAGAAAACCCCTCCCCAGGGGAGCACAACATCAAAAGGAACAAACGCTAGCAAAAAGAGAAAGACATATCCTCTGGATTAAAGGCATATGGAAGGGCATTCCCCAAAGCCTTATGGACACCCAGTTTAATGCAAATTTGAAGGTATTAATTGAAAACTGAGCAAAGTCTCCATCCAAGACAAACCCTTCCCTGTCCACAGGCTCCCCCAAGGCTGTGCCTTCTGCTCTTCATGTTGGGACACTGATTGATTTAAACCAGTAGGAGTCGGAAAACTCCTCAGGCCATCCCCAGTAAGTGAGTCGGGGGATGGGCAATGGAGAAGCCTTAGAGGGTTCACAGAAAATTTGTCTGGGGACATGATGATAACCTTTCCTATAGGTCCCCATAGGACCTCTCTGACTTTCTTACTTGACACAGGACCACAGATATGTGCTTTGCACACCGATGATGCTGTACGATGTGGCATTGCGCCTGATAAAAAGGGACTCATAGTGGCAGATACATTTGGTAACCTGCAGCCACAACCAACCGCTAAAGTAAAATGTTGGCTACCAGGGGAAGTCAACTGATGACACATTAAGTCATGATCTCAGAACTGGGAGAGGAACTGAGCATGGACTCCATAAGAGAGGGGAGCTGAGATAACTTTTTTGACGGGACGCAACCTTTTATAACTTCACACAAACATGAAAAAATTCCTTATAAGGTAAAACTTCCTTATTAGGCAAAACCTGTGACCGCAGCATTTGATTGGCTACTGCTGTTACCTGGAGATCTGGCAGGCTTTCAGGGCAGCAGCTCCATTCCTGTAATGAATTGCTCTGTGCTCAGCTTAACCCGAAGCCTACTGTTAAGGTCTGGCTCTTTCCCAGACCTTTGGCCTGCATTAATTCCCACAGTCAACATCACTGAAACATTAATGGTCATTGATCCGTTCCCTGTTAATTTGCTAGGCTTATACATCTTAAAAGGCAAGTCTTGGACTGATGACAAGGGCAGGCAGTAGACTTTTGGTTTGTATTTTTCATCACTTCATCTCCCGCAAGCTGCCTCCCACCCCCCCCCACCTCCTTCAAAGATAATTAATGTTAAACCATATCCTTTGCCTTTGGGGGCCAGAGAAGGGGTTTCCCCTGTGATATCAGACTTAGGAGAAGATGGGATAATTGTTCCCACTCATTCTCCTTGCAGCTCTCCTATATGGCCCATAAAATAACCAAAGGGGAAATGGAGGCTGACTGTGGATTACAGGAAATTAAATGCCAGTACAGTACCTTTGACAGCAGCCGTGCCTAACATTGCTGAATTGATTGCCACAAACTCATCTGATTTTAGCCACCACTGATGTTAAAGATATGTTCTTTACGGTCCCACTTCAGGAAAATGACTGAGAATGTTTTGCTTTCATTTGGGAGGGAATACAATATGCATTTACTCAATTACCACAAGGTTATTGCCACTCTCCCACACTGGCACATTATGCCCTGGCCCAAGAACTGTCTATACTCCCAATAGACAAGGGAGTAAGGATCTATCAATACATCGATGATGTACTAATCGGAGGTCCAGATGCAGAGTAGGAAATACTCAGAGTCACATTATTAAACACCTCGAGAGTGTGGGCTTACAAATACCAGAGGACAAAATTCAACACCCCTCTCCTAAAGTTTAATTCTTGGATATTTGGTGGAAGGGAGGTGTTGTTTGCATCCCTACTGAAATATTAACCTAGTTGGAGCAAGTAAAGATACCAGAGAACAAAAAGTAATTGCAGCAAGTGTTGGGACTATTGGTCTTCTGGAGAAAACATGTTCCTGATTTTTCAATTATTGCATGGACCTTGTACGATCTGATATGTAAAAGAGCAAAATGGGAGTGGACTCTGTTACAGAGTGAGGCCTTGAAATTATTAACTTTTGAAGCTGGCATGCATCAAGTTTTGGGTCCTTCGCATCTAAGAGATCCTCTCCTTGTTGAATGGGGTTTTGCTTTCCATGGCTTATCAGTCCATATGTGGCAAAAGGAGCCTGAGGGTCCCCCTCGCCCTATTGGATTCTATTCTAGGAGTTTCAAAGATGCTGAAAAGAGATATTCTGATTGGGAAAAGGGGTTGTTTGTAGTCACTATTGCATTACAGGAAGCAGAAAAAATCCTGTGTCAGCAACCTATCCTGCTCAGGGGACCATTTAGAGTACTAAAGATTGTGCTTAGCAGCACCCCCCACTCTGGAGAGTGCTGGCTCTTATAGTTTCCTCCAAGACTTCCTGGTCAGAAATCTATACTCAAGAACCACGTCATGCATGGAATTAATCAGTTGTCTGACAGATTTGGCAAGTATGCTAATTTCAGTTAGCCCAAAAGATAAGAAAGTTTTGTTCACATTATACAGCATTTTAAGCTGTCTAATACCATAATATGACAAGTACCAATTGTCCCCAGACAAGTCTAAAGTATTTCATTGTGATAAATAATTTGAAGTCCTTAGTCCTTGGTATGTTGTGTATTCAGGTCGAATACCCAAGTCTTTGTGTTCTTTTCCACATTTTCAAAATGTGCTGTTTGTTTGTTTGGTTGGTTTTGAAAGTGAGGCTGTTGGTTCCTCTTGGCACCTCCTTTCATAGAATCATAGAATCATAGAATCATAGAATCATAGAATCATAGAATCATAGAATAGATTGGGTTGGAAAAGACCTCCAAGATCATCAAGTCCAACCCCTGATCCAACTCCAATTACTATATCATGGCACTAAGGGCCACATCCAATCTCTTTTTAAAAACCTCCAGGGATGGTGAATCTACCACCTCTCTGGGTAGGCCCTTCCAATGCCTGATTACCCTCTCTGTAAAGAATTTCTTCCTAACATCTAACCTAAACCTCCCCTGGCAGAGTTTGAGCCCATGTCCCCTTGTCCTATTGTTGGTTGCCTGGGAGAAGAGACCGACCCCCACCTGGCTATAACCTCCCTTCAGGTAGTTGAAGAGAGTGATGAGGTCACCTCTAAGCCTTCTCTTCTCCAGACTAAACAACCCCAGCTCTCTCAGCCTCTCCTCATAGGACTTGTGCTCAAGTCCCTTCACCAACCTCGTTGCTCTTCTCTGGACCCGCTCCAGCACCTCACTATCCTTCCTGAACTGAGGGGCCCAGAGCTGAACACAATACTCAAGGTGTGGCCTCACCAACGCAGAGTACAGGGGAAGGATCACTTCCCTGCTCCTGCTGGCCACACTGTTCTTGATGCAGGCCAGGATGCCATTGGCCTTCTTGGCCACCTGGGCACACTGCTGGCTCATGTTCAGCCTTCTGTCGATCAGCACCCCCAGGTCCCTTTCTGCCTGACTGCTCTCCAGCCACTCTGTGCCCAGCCTGTAGCACTGCATGGAGTTGTTGTGGCCAAAGTGCAGGACCCGGCACTTGGCCTTGTTGAACTTCATCCCATTGGAGTCAGCCCATCTCTCCAGTCTATCCAGATCCCTCTGTAGAGCCCTCCTGCCTTCCGGCAGGTCGACACTCCCTCCCAACTTGGTGTCATCTGCAAATTTGCTGATGATGGACTCAATTTCATACAAGACACTTTAATTCCTTTTTGTAGTGTAAGGTAAACCATACGTAGGTATTCTTCCTAAGAATCCCAAGGCAGTGGAAGGATTAAAAAAAAGGTTTGATTCAGATACAAGGATCATTTCTTAGCGATGCTGTGCACCGGGCCTCTGGGGGGGAAGGCAATACCCTGCTCTCTCTAAGGTTTTTTGTATCTTCTCTCTCTCCTCCCCCATCCTCTCTGGCCCAAGGAGGCCTTGTGCATGTCTGCAAATATGTTATCTCTGTGCATACCAGGGAGATAGTTTGCTGACAGCTTCTCCCTGTGACTTTCTCTGAAATGCAGAAGGAAGGAAAAATATCTAACCCGTCTGTTCTCAGGCATTTTGCAGTCTTCCTAAGTGAGACTAGTTCTAGCTTTACGTCACAAATTCTCCCGAAGTTCTACCTATCACTACAGTAGACATTTATTTAATAAAGTTGTCATACTCCCATTAATCTCTTTATAAAACACCAAAAGTGCAATAAAAATTTGCTTAAAATAGCATCTGATACCATTTTTTTCTATCCTCCAGGAAACTATGATGGATCGTCCTCTGAGGACCATTTCTTACACTGCAGATATAGGGGATATAGTTGTCATGATGGCTCTCAGACGAATGTCACGATCAAATTCCCTGGACAATGTGGAAGCATCTCATGCCTCAGAAGATGGAAAAAGGCAATACAAAATGATTTGCCACGTCTTTGAGTCAGAGGATGCAAGGATTTTATCTTGTGATTTTTCCAGGAGGTAAAATGTGAGCATATCTTGACAGGCTTGAAAGTCTATAGCCAATGATCCCACTTGGTTTGTTTGTTAATTGCATAAAAATATTTCATCAAAGTAGAATTTGCTCTCTCTTTTCACCATGGAACTTGTGTTTTACTTGCAAATTCAGTATTTATAGAACTTGGGTTTTTTCAAGTAAATGTAATATTTTCCTAGAGACGATGAGGAGCAGATTCTAAAAGAACCCTGTTCCCACAGCTTACATATACCAGCTCAGGATCTGTAAGAATGAGCATCCATAAAAGAAGATTAATTTCCTAGGGTGTTTTAAGCTATTATTCTTTGTCAGCGTTCACTTTTGATATGATTAAGGGTTTCAGAAAGAGTAGCTGAAATTATTCCCGTCAACCCCTCAGTATGATCTTCTCCGTAATTTGTCCAGATACTGAGGTTAGTCAGCCCTTGTGTCAAAGAAGGTCTGCCCCATGCTAGGCTGCATTAGCAAGAGGGGCAGCAGCAGGACAAAGGAAATTATTCTTCCCCCTCTTTTTGGCACTTGTGGGACTGCGTAAGGGACTACCATGTCCAGTTTGGGGCCCCCCGGTACAAGAAAGACGTGGACAAACAGGAGCAAGTCCAGCAAAGGCCACCAGCATGATTAGGGCCCTGGCACACATGGCATATGAGGAAAGGCTGAGAGAGCTGGTTTTGTTCAGCCTTAAGAAGAGGAAGATTTGGGGGAGATCTTATTACTGTCTACAGCTAGCTAGTGGCAGGGTGTAAAGGAGGCAGAGCCAGGCTTCTCAGAGGCACACAGGGTTAGGGTGAGAAGCAACTGGAACAAGTTGGAACAATGGAAATTGCAATTAGATGGGAGGAAATTGTTTTTCATCACGACCGTGGTCAGACACTGGAACAAGGGCCCAGAGAGGTTGTGGGACATATCCAAAACATGACTGGAAAAGGCCGTGAGAAATCAGTTCTAAGTTGGCCCTACTTTGAGCAGGTGGTTGGACCAGAGACTTCCAGAGGTCCCTTCCAACCTCAATTAAATCTGTGCTGCAGAACACTGCCAGCAGAAACAGCCATCAGATGCAGCAGTTTGCACAGAACGATGCAAAGAAGGGGACCAGCAACTCTGCTCAGAACAGAATATACCTCCTCAGCAATGGTGGTGATACTGGTTAGGTTGGACCTCGAATGCTGTGTCCAGTTCTGGGCCCCTCACTACAAGACAGGCATTGCGTTGCAGGAGTGCGTCCAAAGAAGGGTAACGAAGCTGGTGAAGGCTCTGGGGCGCAAGTCTTATGAGGAGTGGCTGAGGGAACTGGGGTTGTTTAGTCTGGAGAAAAGGAGGGTCAGGGGAGACCTTATTGCTCTCTACAATTACCAGAAAGGAGGTTGTAGACGGGGGGGTCAATCTCTTCTCCCACGTAACAAGCAATAGGACAAGAAGAAACGACCTCAAGTTGCACCGGGGGACGTTTAGCTTGGATATTAGGAAAAATTTCTTCACTGAAAGAGTGGTCGAGTGCGCGTGGGGGGGGGCTGTGCCCACGCAGTCAGGCCCAGGGCGCATTTTGTATAGGAAACGGGCACACACACACACAATATGTGACCCACAAAATGGCAGTTTATTACTCAAGAAGACAGCTTATATGCAGGGAAATACAGAAGGTTCTGGTGAAAGGGTGGGTTCTTGCCAGGGACAACGAATCCCATGGGGTTTTGATAAGGGGATTTAGAACGGTAGGTTAGGAGGATATGTTTATTCATTCAG